AAAAATATTAGTTTTCTGTGACTTCTTGCTTTCTCTCACAAACCACTTCCTGTCTCTCAGCAAATGCTGTTGACTGTGTCTTCAGAATCAATCTAATAATCTGACAACTTCTTACCACTACCACCACAGCCATTCTGGTCCAAACCACCAACAGATCCCACCCAGATAATTTCAGCAGCCTCCTCAGCGGACTCCATGCTGCTGCCCTGGCCTAGAAGCCAGTGAGTAAAATATATGTGTAAAGTATATTATATCATTGCTAGAGGCCCAATGCACGAAATTCATGCAAGCGTAGGCCTTCCTTCTCCCGGCTGCTGGCACCGGTTTCCCTGTGGCACCCAGGACCTGAACTTCCCTCGCAGCCTGGCTTTGTCCCGACAGTCATCCAGATGGATGTTCTGATGGTCATTCTGCTGTTTGGTCTAATTAGCATATTAGCTCTTTATTATATAGGATACTATTCAGAACCTTTGACAAGCTGCTCATCTCACAGTTAACACCGAACTCCTACATAGCCTTTCTCACTTCTTTCCTGCACAGTTGGCCTCCTTGGACGTGCAAGGAATATTTTTCCTGCAGGTAACCTTGAGGCTTACTTCCTCACTTCCTTCATGTTTTTGATGAGCTATTACCTACCCTAGCCACACTTATGCTTCTTCCCTGCTTTATTTTTCTCCATGTCACTTATCCTTCTCCACAAACTTTATGTCTTTGTTTATTTGTTTATTGTTAATTTAGAAATAAGCAACATGAAAAATTTCTCCTTCAACCAGACCCAGCCTCTCATCTGGGTAGCTATGCACACAATAAATGCTCCCCTTACCACTTCGTGTTTCGTTATAGGCATGCCTCCCCAACTCAACCAGAAGTTTCCTGAGAGCAGGGAACCTTGTATCCCCAGAGCCTAGCATAGTATGCTGCTCATAGCTAAAGCTCCATAAATATCATAAATATTTAGAAACAAATGAATGAATGAATAAAAGTAGAGCTGTTATGAACATAGTTTTGTTTGAGTTTTTTTTTAAAAAAAAGCTACATGAGGGTAGGGGATGTTAGTTTGCTTTGTTTTCTGCTACTCCTCTAGTGTCTAAAATTGTACCTGGTACAGAGTAGGCATTCCATAATATCTGTTGATTGAATGAATTAATGAACAGGCAGATGTTTGTTAAACATCCAAAATATTCCTGGGCAGAATCTTAGACGAAGCATTGTACAACAACATGGTCTCTGCTTATAAGAATTTTCCAATTTAATACATGCAACAGATCTATACAGATGCTATAAAGAGGTTAACAAGGGAAGACAGGGTGGGGAAATAGTACTGATCATCAGCTGGTACGGACTCTGAGTTTCAGACTGAAACACTGGTGTTGAGGGCTAACTGTTCTTAAATTCTCTCCCAGAGGTAATGTTAAGTCTTTCCCTGGATTGAGAAAGCAGAAAAGATAGAAGGATTCCTGAAAAATCATGCATAGCCCTTTCCAGTTATTAAGTTATGAGTCCTCAATGGAGGGAGAAAAAAAATGAGGAATATTTGTAATAATATGAACAATAAAGATTTATTTTAAAAAAAGTTATGAGTCCTACTCAGGTATTGGAGTAACAAGTACACACAAGCCTAGCTATGGACAAGTATTATTTCTTACAAAATTTCTTAGCTAGTAGGGATGATTGCTTCCATCTGGAAAGAGGAGTTCAGTTAACTTACACTTCTGAAATTTGTTTTACTTTTTTTGCAATTAAAAATATCTTCGATCTTAAGTGTTCTTTCTTTTTTTTCTTCAAAAAAGCCTTTTATTTTTTGGTGTTTTGTAGAAAGAAGAGAGGCAAACTTATCTTTGTCTCCTTATGTTATCTCAAAACAAACTTTGTGGGACTGTAGTCTTAATTTCCTAGGGGTTTTAGCATGTGGTAAAATGCAAATAAAAAAGCTCCAAATAGGGATATGTTGCGTTATTCTAAAAAACCCCTTCTGACAAATATTTGCATATGGAGAGTGATTTCTGCAGCTGAATTCCCCAGCGGTTAGCACTATCTAGACTAGAGAGTCCTGCCTCTCAAAACAGCACCTTTGAGCACCCAAAGATTACTAAGCAATCCGTATCTTCAGATAAACTAATCTCTGAACTCCGCAGGTCGACTTTTTGTCTTAGATTGTGAAAGATTTCCTTCCAAAAAGTGGTTTTAAACAATGGTCCGCTACAGCATATTTTTAATTTATTTTATTTTTTACAATATACAAAATAAATTTATTATCAGATTTTAGATACGAAATAATTAGCCATTTAGTACATGCAATAAACATTAATATTTTAAGAAAAACAATTTAAAATATAATATTACATACAATAAACATTAATATTTCAAGAAAAAAGATTTTAAATATAATAATATTAGCAAAACTGTACTAACATAGGATAATATCACAAAAATTACAGGAAATATTAAAAATCTGAAAATAACAGGATTAATTTTATTCTAAAATATTTTCCCCCCCTGGCTCTATTTTTGTTCATCAATTTATATGTTGTTCATTATATTCTACAAATGAGTGAGATCATGTGATATTTATCTTTCTCTGACAGGCATATTCCACTTAGCATAATGCTCTCCAGGTCCATCCATGCTGTTGCAAATGTTGAGTTCCTTCATTTTTTTTACAGCAGCGTAGTATTCTATTGTGTAGAAGTACCACCTTATAAAAAATTCTTTATTGTTTTAAGTATTACATATAATATTACACAAGTCTCCTTCCCCCCCCCCCCCCATTGACCTCTCCCCGGCCACACCCACGCCCCAGTGCATGCCCTCACGACCCTGTGTCTGTGTCCATTGGTTATGCTTATATACAAGCATACAAGTCCTTCAGTTTATCTCTTATCCACACCCCCCTCCCTTCCCTCTGAAGTTTGACTGTTCGATGCTTCTCTTTCTCTGGATCTATTTAATATTTTTATTCATCAGTTTATGTTATTCATTATATTCCATTGTATAGATGTACCACTGTTTTTGTTTATTTGTTTGTTTTGTACCATTTTTTTTTAATCCACTCATCTGCTCATGGGCACTTAGACTGTTTCCAAATCTTAGCTATGGGGGATTGTGCTGCTATGAACATAGGGTTGCATATATCCTTTCTGATTGATGTTTCTGTTTTCTTGGGATATAGCACTAGGAGTGGGATTCCTGGGTCAAATGGGAGTTCCATTTTCAGTTTTTTGAGGAAGCTCCATAGTGTTCTCCACAGTGGTTGCACCAGTCTGCATTCCCACCAGCAGTGCACAAGGGTTCCTTTTTCTCCACATCCTTGCCAGCATTTTTCATTTGTTGATTTGTTGATGATAGCCATTCTGATAGGTGTGAGATAGTACCTCATTGTTGTTTTGATTTGCATCTCAGATAATTAGTTACTTTGAGCATGTTTTCATATGTCTCTCATTCTTCTGTATGTCTTCTTTCGAAAAGTGTCTATTTAGGTCACTTTTTGATTGGATTGTTTATCTTCCTTTTGTTAAATTGTATTAATTCCCTGAAAATTTTGGAGATTAAACCCTTATAAGTTATAACATTGGCAAATATGTTCTCCCATGCAGTGGGCTTTCTTGTTGTTTTGTTGATGGTTTCTTTCACGTGCAGAAGCTTTTTATTTTGATGTAATCCCATTTGTTTATTTTCTCCTTAGTTTCCATTGTCTTAGGAGCTGTATTGGTAAAGATATTGCTGTGACATATATACATATATCTGCTATTTTGCTGCCTATGGAGCCTTGTAGGATTTTTATGGTTTCCAGTTTTACTTTTAAGTCCTTTATCCATTTTGAGTTTATTTTTGTGTATGGTGTAAGTTGGTGGTCTAGTTTCATTTTTTTGCATGTATCTTTCCAATTTTCCCACACCATTTATTGAAGAGACTCTCTTGACTCCATTGTATGTTCTTGTTTCCTTTGTCAAATATTAACTGGACATAATCACTTGAGTTGATTTTTGGGTTCTCTGTTCCATTCCATTGGTCTATATGTCTGTTCTTGTGCCAGTACCAGGCAATTTTGGGAATAGTGGCTTTGTAATATACCTTTATATCTGGTATTGTGATCCCTCTAACTCTGTCCTTCTTTCTCAAAATTGCTGCAGCTATTTGTGGTATTTTTTTTTATTCCATACGAATTTTTGCAAAGTTTGTTCTAGGTCTGTGAAACATGTCATTAGTATCTTAATGGGGATTGCATTGAATCTATGGATTGCTTTGGATTATGTGGACATTTTAATGATGTTGACTCTACCAATCGATGAACGCAGTATATTCTTCCATTTGTTTATATCTTCCTCTAACTATTTTTTCAACATCCTGTAGTATTCCAGGTATAGGTCTTTTACCTCCTTAGTTAAGTTTATTCCTAGGTATCTTAATTATTTTGTTGCAATGGTAAATGCCACCAAGCCGGCAAAGGGGGGCAGTGAGGGGTGACCAGGCCAGCCAGGGTAGGGGGAGGATTGGGGGTGATTAGGCTGGCATGGGGGGAGTAAGGGGTGTGGGGCAGTTAGGGACCATGAGGAAGGCAGGCAGGTGAGCAGTTAGGAGCCAGTGGGCCAGTGGGCCTGGACTGTGAGAGGAATGTCCGACTGCCAATTTAGGCCCGATCCTCACCAGCAGTTGGATATCCCCTGAGGGGTCCCGGATTGGAGGGGATGCAGGCTGGGCTGAGGGGATGCCCCCCCCCCCTGCACGAATTTCATGCACTGGGTCTCTAGTCCTGTATAATAAAAGGCTACTATGCAAATAGACGGAATAGCAGGACGACTGGTTGCTATGAAGTGCACTGAGCACCAGGGGGCAGATACTCAATAAGCTGCCCCCTGGTGGTCAGTGCCTCAGCCAGAAGCCAGGCTGGCCAGCAGGCTCAAGACTGGCAAGCACAGTGGTGGTGGCAGGAGCCTCTCCTGTCTCTGAGGCAGCACTAAGGAGTAGTGAGCCTGGCTTCTTACTAAGTCGTGTTCCCACAGGGGGAGCCCCGCTCAGCCAGAAGCCGGGCTCATGGCTCCTGAGCACAGCAGCAGAGGCGGTGGTGGGAGCCTCTCCTGCAGCCACGGCAGGGCTAAGGATCCCTCAGGTAATGTCTGACTGCCAGCTTAGACCCGTCCCCTTGGTCATCCTCCGAGGGGTCCCAGACTGAGAGAGGGTGCGTGCAGTCTGGGCTGAGAGAACCCCCTCCCAGTGCACGAATGTCATGCATCAGCCCTCTGGTTAATGATACCAGTAAAGGGAAAGATAATTTCACAGTGCAGATACCACTTTACCCAAGTGATCAAGATAAACATCACAAGTGATAATACATCAACTTCATAAGCCTTTTGATTTTATGCATTGAGAAGGACACTGTAGCATTTTCCTGTCCTGCAGGACAAGGAAAAACTGAGGAACACCAGACTGGAGGAGATTAAAAGGAAATAACCAATTGCAATGCAGGGAACTGGGTAGGATTTTAGAAGAGAAAAAGGACAGTGGGAAAACTGATGAAATTAGAATAAGGTCATCACTAATAATTGGACTGTGGTTATGTAAGATGTTAAGATTAGGAGGAACTGCGTCAGGAACTAAAGTTAGTTCAAAATAAAAACTATAAACAAAATTAAATAAAACACATAAGGCATCCAAAATATTTCAATAACATGAACTGTTCTTTGGTTCTTCCTGTTGCAATTTCCACAGCGGAGCGACTTTCAAACACCTGGCTGGACGTTCGCCATATTGAAAAATATGTAGATCAAGGTAAAAGTGGAACAAGAGAATTACTTTGGTCCTGGGCACAGAAAAACAAGACCGTCGGCGACCTTTTACAAATTCTCCAGGAGATGGGACATCATCGAGCTATCCACTTGATTGCAAACCACGGTAAACACCAATTTTTATGACGTGGCTCTTGGTCCATTTTATAGGAATCATAATTTGTAAATGTAAATATTGCATTTTATTCAAGACAATGACTGGTTATGCTATTATGCCATATGTCCAAGATTTCTACCACTGGCATTTATCTTACTGCTTCACATTATTTTGGTGATACTTTCTTTCTTTACTACATAATGTGTACAACACATCTTTTCTACTCCTTTATAGTTTGGGGTTTGATTTTTTTTTTTTTTAATTTACAAACCACACTTTTTGAACTGATTTATTCTTAGCAATATGAACCAACTCTCCATTCAAAACTCTGAGACTCCTTGAATCATAAACATAACCACAATCACAATATAAGTAAAATATAGATAACTCTATAATTTGTTTTTATCATATGATTAGAAGTTTTTAAAAAATATAATTGGATTTCCCCTCTGTATTTTTGGGTAAAGATATCCCTCCAGAATTACTGTGGGATTTCTCTTTTATCTGCATCGCTTTTTTTATGCCATTGCCTCTAACTCTGCCTTACCTATTTACTGTCCATTCCACAGGGGTCTGATTCTTTCCTGTCTTGTTTGTTTCTCAAGCCTTGTCATGCCTTACATGAAGAGTAACCTTATAAATAAAGCTCATGAAGTTTTCTCCATTCATTCTTTGTCAATAAAATAATCTCTTAATGATACTTGTTCTGTTTACTCCACTTTAGATTTATTCAATACAAGAATGATCTTGGGTCTTATAGACTCGGGCTCTTAAGTTGGAAAGTTTTTTGAATCAGCATCCTTATTATTTGCCTCTTCCATTCAGGAACATTTTTATTTCTCTCTATTTGTGTGCCAGGCCAGCATAGCCAAGGGTTCTGTGAGCCTGAGGGAAGGCTGTGAAGGATTAAAGAAGACAGACAAAGAGAATATAGCTGGGGCTTGGTGGACCTCCTGTTCCTGGATGAGGCCACAAAGAAAGATCTAGGCAAGCTGAGGGTTTATTTAATAATCAGAGAAAAACAAGGTAGTGGTCTCCATAGTTACAATGTTCTTGTGAGTTTCACCTTGTTTTGGCAGCACTTGTTGCACCTCCCACAGCCCATTAGCTACCCAGGAAGGATCTAGGGGGTGGCCATAAGGTCAAGCTTAATTATGCTGAGGTCTCTGCCACAGGGCAATCCGAGGCTTAACTCTACAGCTGCTCCCTACCTGTTTGCACACATCCTTTTGGATAATATATAATACTAAGTGCCCTTGTGCCTCTATGTTATTATCCAAAGAAACTTTGCACACACAAAGAAGAAATCCTGAGAAATTGTACCAAATTGTACAGTAGCTTCAGGTTGACTTTTATTCTGTAGAGCAGACTTGTAGCAAATATATACCCCTAGACTTGTACAAATAGACTTCTACAATGATATTTGTATGACGTGGCTAACTCCTTTTCATTTTTTGCACATTATTTCTTCACTTAGTTTCATAGAGCAGAATCCTGCACTATGAAGCTTACTAATCAATTAAAATGCATTGAGTCCCTGGGAACTGTGAATTCAATGCCTGATCATTCTCTGAGCCTTTTCCAGCCACTGCAACCACCCACACAACTCTCTATTCATGTATAAACTCACCACTTTGACAGGACACGTGAGATGTTTTATACTTCAGTGTTCTGGAATAGATTTCAGAGTATTTGTTGCTCTCTACATCATTTATTTATGCAGCAGAGAATGATGTGAACTGATTAGACAAAAATGTCATATTCTTGATTGACTCCTAGTCTGTTGCACATGCAAAATTGATTGTATTTTATAAATGAGAGATTGGCTGATTGGTGAAAAGACAAGTGTTTACTGCCCTAGTACCAGAAGATAGGTAAATCTGAGATGAGTGGAGGATAGCACCTTGAGCTGAGTCCTTTTCTGAGGAAAGTAGTGACAACCAGAATGGTTAGCAGATAACTCCCGGGAGATGTGTCTCTCGACACCTAAGAATGAGCTCTGGGGACCAAAAGATTTAAGCAAATTCATGGAAAATTTATTGCAAAATTTATTTATTCAGGCCCCCAACTTGGGGAGGGAGACCCAGCAATGGGTTGGTTTCCAGTGAAGCCTTGTAGTCTAGGGGTATATATTTGCTACAAGTCTGCTCTATATCTATGCTGATTGATTCCCTCAATTGTTCCTTCCCAGCAAGAGATCTGAACTTCCCTTATTTCTATGAGACCCTCCCTAGTTTCACATGCCTCCCACTTTGAGTCCAAAAACATTTTGTTATTCCTGCATGGTTGGTTTCTGTGATTAGGCTTGCTCAAACTGCCATATCTGACCCAAGGTATGATACACCAACCTTTGTTTTCCACTGGACACCTGCCCAGGTTGCCTGTGTGTCAAGCTAAGCCTGTCAATAGCATTATTTAATTGTGATTTATTGAGTGGATGCTTTGATTACCTTAAAGTGTTCATTGTATAGCTTGTTAAAAGCAGCAATGTGATGATTCATTGGAAATATTAAGTATAACCTGCTGAACAGATGTTTTCTATGATAACTACTCACCAATTTAGGAGTTTAGATAAACACTTTAATCTTTGTTGCTTCCATGGATAGAGCTATCAGTTATCCAAATAATTTATAATCCATTCAGATATTCATTTAGAATTTTTTTTTTAAATTGATGTCACAGAGGATGAGAAAAGGAGAGAAAGAAACATCAATGATGAGAGAGAATCATTGATCAGCTGCCTCCTGAACACCCCACACTGGAAATTGAGCCCACAACCTGGGCATGTGCCCTGACCAGGATTTGAACCATGTCATCTTAGTTCATAAGTCAATGCTCAACCTCTGAGCCACGCCATCTGGGCCAGATGTCCATTTTACCTCCCTTTTATTTCAATTGTTCAATTTGGTGGAATGGTTTTCATTTTAGAGAAATTCTTACCTTTCATTTGCCAGCCTTCAGTGATCACTTTATAGACTTGACTTTTATTACGAGTCCTTCTGAGAAATGACCTGTAGTCATCATTCTGCAATTCAAGTGGCTGCATAGTTCCTTTTTTCTTCACTTGATTTTAACTTTTTAATTATTACATTTTTAGGTTCAATCAGCATTATTTCTACTGCTATTTTAATTTTTTTAAGTGCCATTTTATTTTCTCTTTATTTTACATTGGAATTAGTGTTCTTCATTTTATTTTCATTTCTCCTTTTTTATTTTTTTAAAAATATTTTTAAATTAATTTTTTACAGAAAAGAAGAGAGAGGGATAGAGAGTTAGAAACATCAATGAGAGAGAACCATCAATCAGCTGCCTCTTATACACCCCCCACTAGGGATGTGCTCGCAACCAAGGTACATGCCCCTGACCAGAATCAAACCTGGGACCCCTTAGTCAGCGGCCGATGCTCTATCCACTGAGCCAAACTGGTTTCAGCTTCATTTGTCCTTTAACATTGTTTAACCCTATCTCGTATTGAGATAGGGTTAAACAATCACTCTATTCCTAACTTTCCAGAGGGTTACACCATCACTCTCTTCCTAACCTTCCCCCTTTTGCTATCCTGTTTATCTTAACCCTTTCCTGCTTTAGATTTTCCCTACTCTTTCTGTTACCCCTGCTAAAATTTCTACCCTACTTATATATCTAATTTCCAATCCTCTGTGCCAAGTGCATACACACCCCTCTCTGAGCTGTATTAATTAGAAAAAAAAAATTGGTTTCCTCTCTGTCCTTTTGATGCTGTTTGGAGGAATGTTGATTATATTGTATTTTTATGCTTTTTAGTGAGAGTATTTTGCTTATTCTTTTGTTGTTGCTGTTGCTTGGTATTTTCTTATTTGATTTGTTTTTGTTTGTTTGTTTTTTTACTTCTGTTTTCCCTTCCTTTGCTGGATATTAGTGGGTGTTGTAGATTGTATTATTTTTCAGGTACTGCTGCCAGCATTTGCTGGGGTTAGTAGTTGTTCTATTGAAATTTTCTCCATATATATATATATATATATATATATATATATATATATATATGTTATTCCCCTTTTATCTCTTAGTCTCTTTTCTCTCTCCCCCCCCCCCCTCTCTCTCTTCTCCCTGTTTCCCAATTTCATTTTGACACTCCTTTTATATATATACATAGGGTAACAGATTGGATAAGAAAACAAGACCCACATATCTGTTGTCTACAAGAAACCTATTTCAGAAAAAAAAAAAGACACACACAGACTGAGGGTGAAGGGATGGAAAAAGGTTTCCCAGGTGAATGGAAATGGAAAAAAAAAAAAAGCTATAATGAAGGACACTTCATAATAATATATATATATATATATATATATATATATATATATATATATTCCCCCCCCCCCTTATCTTTTTCTTTTGCTCCATCCCTCTTCTCTTTTTACTCTTCTTCTTTTTCCCCTATCCCCTAATTTGCCTTTCCCTAGTAGTCACCTTTTTTGGAGGGTACTAATATTGTAAATACATTTCAGTTCAGTGCCTTGTATGTTGTACCTGGTTGTGTTGTATTTTGTGCCTTTAAATCAACGCAGGAGAGAGAGATCTACATAACCAGACATCCTGAAAAGAGAGACCATGGGGAGACAAAGAAACAGCCCACAAATGAAAGAAAAGCAGGCATCACCAGAAAAGGAAGTAAAAGAGTTAGAGGCAAGCAAGCTACCAGAGCAAGAATTCAGAGTAATGATCATAAGATGGCTAAAAAGAATGGAAGACAAATTTGACAATATGAGAGAGGGAATGAAGAATCAAGAGGAAATGAAGATGAATCAAGAAGAAATGAAAAATGACATTGCTACTATGAAGAACTCAATAGAAAGCATCAAGAGTAGACTAGAAGAAGCAGAGGACCACATCAGTGAGCTAGAAGACAAGATGGAAAAAAATACCCAATTAGAACAGCTTCTAGAAAAAAAAATTAAAAAGCAGGAGGAGAGTCTACGGGAACTTTAGGACAATACAAAACAAAACAATATTAGAATAATAGGGGTCCCAGA